TGTGACCTTGATCTGACCTTGGCAAAGCCACCCAAGGTCAAACTGATATGATCAATAAATACATCTTTTGGAACCCCACAACTTTGGTCTGAACATATTTTCGATTGAATCTTATTCTGCGGAGATAAAAAGGATGTACGGGTGGTCTAAAACACCCTGTATATCTCTATAATTCGATAATGTAATTTGTTTTTAATGATACCGTAATATATACACTGAAAAAAATGCATGTAATTTTACATGGAAATTACATGTTCATGACTGGAAAATTGCCTAAATATGATTGGAAATTTATAATTTCCAGTAAATTTCCAAGCATATTTATGTAATTTAAATAATTTTCCAGTCATATACATGTAATTTCCATGTAAAATTACATGCATTTTTTTCAGTGTAGTTCCACCTTTATAATTTACACTCTCTGCTTTATCTTGCAAACATGAAAGGTATAAAACCATTTTGAAAGATCTTGTGGATATGTCTCTGGTGAAGAACTTCTGTTTCTTAAATTTATGCTTTGGCGTCAATTTCGTGTACTATTCCGACATTGGTTTTATTTATCTTCTTCCAATTATAATAACCGATGCAGGACACTCAAAAGACTACGCCGCACTGAGTGTTACAATTATTGGAATAGCTGAGCTGACGGCGAAAATTTTATTGTCAGTTTTTACACTGATAATAAACATAAAATCGAAGTATATATTCTTTGCTGCCACAATCTTAATGGAATTCGCAAAAATAGGTAAGTATATTTAATCCTATAATTAAGTAAATAAATTATCGCGAATTTTTAGTTTATAAAATGACATATAAAATTCACATTATAGGCTTTCTGCTATGTAAGCATACACTTAAAGGCGCGTTAATTACGTCAGCATTAATCGGCGTCGTGCGATCGTGGCTGCTAGTTTCGCAACCTTTAGTTATCATAGAAGATCTCAACATAGAAAAATTTGCCTCGGCTTACGGTATCAATTCTGTTATCAACTGTTTAGTCACGATAATTTTTGGTGCCATCGTGGGTAAGTTGAGAAAGACTGTTATACAATTTCTAATATGTTATATAACAATGCACGTGTGTTTTATTACAGGAATTATTAGGGATTGGACTGATAGCTACGAAATATATCAAATTTCTCTACTAGTAATGAATAGTGTATTTATTTTACCTTGGATGTTGCAATTCATTTTCGTAGACTTCAGAAAATGGCGGAAGCAACGCGCGCGGAAAGCTAATATCATCGACCATTGGGAATGAAGAGATGTGGAACGTCTCAATTAATGACTGATCCACTTGTCAAGTTGCATTTTCGCTTTTCTTTGATAAAAACATTTAGTATTTTTAATTATTTTTGATATATAAAGTATATCGACTTTTATATATTCAACTTTCTGTCGTTTGTGTACCGAAAATTTTATATTTTATAATTTAGTTTTTTTTATAATCAATATTTTTAAACAAAATAGATTTAAATTTTTATGCGGAAAATATAGGGGTAGTTTACAATATTTTTAGAAGGAATATATGAGATGTATATATTATTGAAATCGTAAGACGGAACAACATGATTTTTATTATAGCGCTTTATTTGCTCAAAATTATATAAAGTAGAGTAATTATTAATTTTATAAGTAATTATTAGTTTTAAATTATAACTCTTGAAATTAATAAAATATTGAAAATTCATTAATATTAATAATGCAAACCTATCTTATCTGCAAATAAGTTGTTGAATACAGTGTGTCTTGACAATATCTGTAATGTTTTAAGTATAATATATATAATATTGATTTTTTCATCTGCGTCTTACATTTGGTTAGTAATGTAGAAAAATATATAGCAAATTATTAGAGAAATATACTTACTCAAGTGAGATTAAGAAGTAGAAAATAAATTGTCTTACTAGGACAATCGTCAATCTATTTATATTTTACTGGATTATGTTTTATGCAGATATGGGATTATAATTCCTGATTATTCTTTACAAGATGTCGGTGTGCGCGGTTCGATTTTAATCTTGAATCCATCATGCCTTTTTAAAATAATGTCAGCTTGCAGGAGGAACTCTTTGTCCGGCGTTTCAGAAATAATACGGTAATTTCTCAGTATTGTCGACAGCAAAACTTTTAGTTTCAGCATAGCGTATTTCCGTCCCACACAAGACCTTTGAAAAATATGCCATTGTTAACGAATATGACCATATTTTGCTATTCATGGCAAAATATTTTTACATATCAATATTTAAAAAACAAACATTTAAACTTAAACGTAATTTTCTAACTATGAGTTTAAAAAAGCTTCAGAAAAAAGATTACTAAAAATAGAAAAAAATTATTACTACAAAATATTAATGAGTATTAAACACCTTGGCCCAGCACTAAAAGGAATATAAGCATAATAATGTCTTTTTTGCATATTTTCTGGTAAAAAGTTGTCTGGATTAAAAACTGTTGGATTTGGATAATACTTCTCTAAGCGATGTATCAGGAATTGTATAATTATTACTGTGGCAGACTTTGGGAGAACATAATCTCCTGTAACTATAAAATAAATTAATTATATGTGTATGTCTCTCTTTAATTTATAAATGAGTTCTTAAAGTAAGTGTCTCTAGCGGAAAAATTGTGAAAAGCTACATAGATTGAGATAAGATCTTAGAAATTGTTAATTTTTCATAGATATTCGTAGTGGGAACGTTGTTTGTTTGAAAAACCAAGAAATCCTCCGTGCTCAAACAACGTCACTCTACGTTCCACTATGAATATCTACGAAAAATTAAGAATTTCTAAGATCTTGTCTCAATCTATGTAGTTTTTCTGTACTTTTTCATAAAAATTTTTTTCCGCCAGGCTGTAACTTATAACTCACGCACACATCTAATATTATAATAGTTATCATAATTACCATTTTTAATAATGTATTTAAATCCAAATAGCTTACCTATTTTCACATCTTGATTAAGGCGCCTGGCAATAAAAGGTACGGGTGGGAAAAGTCTCAAAGTTTCCATAATAACTCTCTCGAGATATTTCATTTCTAAAGTATCTCGGAAAGTGCATTGTCTGTTGCTATCACCAAAAATTCCGTCCAATTCTTCGTGTACGCGAGCCTGCATAGTGAAAATCATTGAATTAAAACAAAATGGAGAATAGGCGAGCGATTTACCCTCATTTTTAGTACACTAACCAACCAATCGACGTTCTATTGCCTGGAAATGATTTAATTCGATTCCTTATATTATTTTACGAAAAAACATCTATATACACTTTATTTTTTTTATGTGTTCGTTGAATAGTTATGAACAATTTATTGTTCAAAAAATCTGAACTTCGAATAAAAATTCTGAAAAAATTCTGAAAGCTTAATTGGATCAAAATGAACATTTTTTTGTCTCTTAGACTTTTTTAATAAAATCAATAATTTTTTAAATAAAAAAATGTCTAAGCTTGAGAAATGACTACAGTTATATATTTTTTTTTCTCACAAACTAATCAATTAAGCTTACAGAATTTTTTCGAAATTTTTATTCGAAGTTTAGAAATTTAAAACAAAAAATTGTTCTAAACTATTCAACGATTACATAAAAAAATAAAGTGTATATAAATATTTTTTCTCAAAATAATATAAAAAGATCGAATTAAATTATTTCCAGCCACTAAAACGTTGTGTTGATCGGTTAATGCATTTTCTAAGCGACTTTTTGGTGGTAAACTGCTCACCTAGAATGAATTATTATACAACTGTTATCGAACTGTTATCGAACTGTTAATCAAACAATATATCGACCTCTAGCTTTCAGAAAGATTGAAAATCGCGAAATAAAATGTTTTTTAATTACTATTTTAATTTAATTTAAATATAAATTTAGTTGTCAACAAATAAATAATCTGTTAAAATGGATGATGCAGTCAACGGTAAGAAATTATTTATGAAGTTATGTGTTTCATGTCATACCACGGAAAAAGGTGGAAAACATAAAATAGGTCCTAACCTGTATGGCATCATGGGCAAGACTTGTGGAAGTAAGTGTTTCATTAAATGTCCCAATGTTTTATAGACAATATCTCGATTGAGAAAATACTTTAATAAAAAAGAATTTCAGAAAAAAACATTTTAATAGTTGCTTAATAATATTCATGCGTAAATATATAATACTATTAAATGATGAGAGAGAGAGAGAGGGAGAGAGAGAGAGAGAGAGAGAGAGAGAGAGAGAGAGAGAGAGATGATAGTATAGGAACTTAATTTATTATGTAACTGTTTTATTTCTTTTAGCTATTTCGGGATTTAAATCCACAGAAGTTATGAAGGAAAAAGCTATTGTGTGGAATGAGAAAACCTTAAACGACTACCTTGAAGTTCCCAAAAAATTCATCCCAGGAACAAGTATGGCATTCTATGGTGTCAAGAAGACCGAAGATCGAAGAGATTTGATCGCTTTCTTAGCTACTTTGAAGTAATCGTGTTTTAATAAAACAGTGTATATAACAATTTTGCAACACAAATGTGCAAACGATAAGATTATCAGTTAATAATTATTAAAAATAGTAATAATGAAGGTACCTGAATATCTGGATGATTTCCTAAGACACAAAGTGCAAAACTCGAGCCAGCCGCCGTAGTATCATGACCCTGTAATAAATCGATAATTACTTTTTTTTAATGCATAAATTAATAACTTATTTATTATATTATAACAATGCAATATACGAGATATTTTGTAGAAACTAAGAAAAATTTAAATTATAAAAGTTCATATTCAAAGATTTATAACAAGATTAAATTTACTGTCGAAAGGAAATTGAAAGTATTGTAATACCTCAAACATGATAGTATTTACTTCTTCCCAGATGTCCTCATCAGTCATTTGCCCATTTTTTTTTAATTCGAACATCATTTCTAAGAAAGCAAGTCGCTTTTTCTCACCTATGTCATTCTCATCGATGTCATCAAGATCATCTCTTACATAATGCATATAATTAGCGGCATTATTTTTAACGTTTTCTACATTTTCGGTTATCTTCGAATTTTCTATTAGTTTATCATTTTGTTCTTCTTTTAGTTGTTGATATTTTTCATATTTTTCTTCGACATCTTTTGATTTTTCTTTGATTACATGTTCTGTTAATGAATGAATAGTTTTGAGTAATTTCTTTTGGAGCTTTGCAAGCTTCGAAAATTTGAAAAATATATCGAACCGTACTGACATATCATAATGTCTTCGATGTAAAATATCGCTCATTCTACAATATTCAAATTATGATGAGTACATTTTCTACATGATAAATATTTAATAAAATATTACGTGTAATTTTAAGGAAACAACAATATATACTTCATCACGGCCATGGCATATTCGTATCCGGTTTTTTGTCTTCTTTCTTTCTTAATTCCCATTGCTGTTTCTGTTAAAATATCAACCGTTACGGCTGATAGATAATCGTGGCAATCGAATTCCTTTCCAACTTTATCGCGAAGTCGGTTCACGAGATCTACGCTGTTTTCGTAAAATAAGGGCACAAATGTCTTTAAGATATTCATATGAAATGTAGGCGCAATCATCTTTCTATGTCCGCGCCATTTGTCGCCTGATGTGATCAGCAAACCATCTCCAAGCCAAGGTTTAAACAATCTACGATAGAGATAAAAAGGGGATTAATTATTCCCAGTAATAGTAATAAGCAATGTCTTATAATAAATGACAGATCATTTAGAATAGAATTTGCATCTTTAGTTGTAACATACATATAGAAATAAAACACATTATATGTACATAATATGTATATGCGTAAATTTTCATAATTTTATTAATTGTTAATTTGATTTCTTACTTATAATCGTCAGCTTTGTCGATATGCACAGAACTACTTAGTATTACTTCAACATCTTGTGGATCTGATAAAAAGATTAATGCTCTTGTGCCTAAATATGCGCCTATTACAGTCCCATAAATCTCATAATAATTAAGACCTTTTTGGAATAAAAATTCGGGAGACTCTTTGAGAGCTATTAATGTATGGCCTATAATAGGTACGGATGGTGGATCTAAAAGAAAAAAAATTATTGTAGGCTAATATATATATACATATATATAGGAAAATCAATTCTGACAGAGATTACAATTGCGAACATACAGTCGAACTAGAAATTAAACCTTTTTATTGTTAATATGTACATACTTGGTAATTTTTTTATAAGACGAATTACTCGAGAGGTTTCGACGTAATAATATGTTGCAATTAATAGTGTAACAATTG